ATTTAAAAATAACAAGTTCTGATTATAAAATAACAAGTTTGGGATTAAAATTTAATAACACGTTTTTTTTATAACAATACACTTTGTTTCAAGTGATAACAACAATACATTTAAAAATAACAAGTTCTGATTATAAGATAATAAGTCTAGGATTAAAATTTAACAACACGTTTTTTTATAACAATTAATTATTTTATACTTTTAAAAAATAAATTATTTATAACTTATAAAAAATATTTTTAATATATTTATTTCTCTAAAAAAATACTTTTTAATCTGTATATCTATACAACTCATTATAAATCAAACTACTTCTTATAAATTATAAAGTATTTATAATAAGGCATTTTGATTTATTAATCATAGTATAAATTTTATATTATTTCATTCTTTAAATATTAAAAATAGTTTTTTATATTTAAAGAATAAAATAGTATTTTTAATTATAAATTAGAGATAAATTTCATTTATAAATTTAAGCAGTCAAAAAGTATTTTTAATCCACAATAAATTGTACTATTTATAATTTATAAGAAGTAGTTTGATTTATAATAAGTTGTATAGATATATAGATTAAAAATTTTTTAAAAAATTAAAAAAGTGTGTTGCCATTTTCCCTAAATTTTATTTATAAATTTGAACAATAAAAAAGTATTTTTAATCTATAAAAAATTATACTTCAAGTTCTGATTATAAATTGGAGATAAAAATTATTTTTTTAGCAAATTAAATAGATTACAAGTACTTTTTATAAGTTATAAATAATTTATTTTCCAAAAGTATAAAATAATTAATTGTTATAAAAAAAAGGTGCTGTTGAATTTTAATTCCAGACTTGTTATTTTATAATCAGAACTTGTTATTTCCAAATGTATTGTTGTTATCACTTAAAACAAAGTGTGTTGTTATAAAAAAACATGTTGTTAAATTTTAATCCCAGACTTATTATCTTATAATCAGAACTTGTTATTTTTAAATGTATTGTTGTTATCACTTGAAATAAAGTGTGTTGTTATAAAAAAAACGTGTTGTTAAATTTTAATCCCAAACTTGTTATTTTATAATCAGAACTTGTTATTTTTAAATGTATTGTTGTTATTGCCTGCAACAAAATTTATTGTTATAAAAAAAACATATTGTTAAATTTTTATTCCAGACGTGTTATTTTACAATCAGAACTTGTTATTTCCAAATGTATTGTTGTTATCACATGGAACAAGAGTAAATGAGTTAACTTATTTTTTTTTTTGCATCATAATGTTAACAAAAATTTGTTGGCTCAATGGTCATTCCTTATTTTGGGAAGCATTAGGTTGGGGGATCAAATCCCCCCAACCTCACTTCCCCCCAATTTAAAAAAAAAAACAGTTTCAAAAAAAAAAACAAAGGAAGACCGCCGGAAGCGGCCGCCAGCGCCGGAGCTCCGGCGGCCGGACCCCTGCGTCCGGCCGCCGACAGTGGCCGGAAGCGGCCGCCGGAGCTCCGACGCCGGTGGCCGGATTCCGGTGAGGCAGTGGCTTTCTTTTTTTAAAAAAAAAATTAAAGAGGGGTATTTTGGTAATTTGGCCATGATTTCATAATTACAATTTGAGACCGGGTCCCTCATAGTAATTTAGCATATTCAGGTGACCATAGAGTGATTTTGCTAATTCGAGGGTCTTTATTTGTGATTTCCCCTTGTAACTATTCGTTAATTAGAATTTTCTTACTATGTGGAATCTACCGAGATATTTTAGAAGAAAATTACATATTTGTGAAAAAATAGATTAAAATTTTATATTTATGAGCAAATTAAAAACTTTATCTAGCTTTTATTTAAGAGGGCAGGTAGCAACATTTATTTGTAAATTTCACATCAATTTAATTTTGCTTGTAAATTTGAATATATCTCTTTAAATTTAATAAGGGAGAATTCCATTTGAATCCAACTGAAATATTAAAATCTAAAATTAGGTCTATAATTTGAACAAATCCTTAGTTAGGCCAAAATGTCTAATTAGGAATTTATAAATGTTAAAAATCTAGAATACCCCTATATAATTATAATATGAGTTGTTATTTTTATATTTGTCTTCCTCACAAATTCGTTTCCTAAACTTTTTTTGTGGGATTTTCCTGAAATTTGAAAATAGTAAATCTTTAATAGATGACAAGTAGTTACAACATAGTCCGTAATTCAAATTGATAATTACTCCAGCACCCTCATAATGTAACAGTATAGGTCATTGATAGATTTTAATTTTGGATATGTTCAATTTCTGCTAAGTTTTAATGTTGATTCATCGTCCATATATTTAATAATATATACGCACACATACAAATTTTTTTATTTAACAGGTATATATTTTTTTAAATAGAACACGCATACATTTTAAGAGTGAAAAACTTATTTAGACAATGAACTTTTAATAGATTTTAGATTGAAGACAATATTATAATTTGTTATTGTCATATTTTAAGAAAAGAATTTATAAGGAAGAAAAATGTAAAAATAACAGCTCATATTTTAATTATAGAGGGACATTTTGATCCTTTAATAATATTCATAAATTTCTAGTTAAACCTCTTAACCTAATTAAGAATTTATTCAAAGTAAAAGCCTGATTTTAAATTTCAGTACGAGATTGTCCCATTTAATAATGCAATGTTCAAAAGTTAGGTATAAATAAATGCGTTTTCAAAATTCTTATTAATTCATTTTTTTGGGAAAAAAATGAACGCTAACGCGCAGGTCAGAATTCTAGCTTCCATGAAAATGTCAGTCAAGAGACATGTGATGATATTGGCTCACCTTATTAATACAACAACTGTTAATTTCAGCGGATTAAAAAAAATTAAAAAAATTATTTAATTATAATAAATATGTCCTGACTTTTCTAAAATAATCTTATGTGATATTTAATTATATATCAGTTTACAAGTTAATTAAACTAATTTGAAAGATAAATTGAACTATTATATTTCACACTACATCTAATTCCCAACCAGCTCCTGTATGAATGATAAGAGAGGGTAATATATTCATAATCCATAACATTTTGGCCACCATTGTGAGAGAACAGAACAGCATCCCAATATTATTGTTCTTGTCAAAACTTGAATGAAATGTTGGCCAAAAGAAAATATTGATAAGAAACTCTCGTCCTAAAATAATAAAAAAATTGTTCAATAATAGAGTAATAACAAGAATATTAGAGATAATCATATACAAGAATATAAGAGATAATTATATATCTTATTATTTCTTTTTACATAGAAAATGATTTTTTCTAATAGCAAAGACCAAACAAGGCTTTAACTCTATTGCGATCATAAATAAAAATAGGTAAGAATAAATAATCAACGTTTGTGTCCATTTCTTAAGAAGTACTACCTCCAGTCCTTAATATAAGATCCTATTTGACTTTTATTTTGGTTCTAAATATAAGACCCAAATTCATTTTGTCTATCATATTTATATATATTTTTTCCAAAGTAGCCCTTCTAACAATAATAGTTCTAGTCAATACACTTGATTAATAAAGATATTTTAGGAAAGATAACACCCATTTAGGACAAATAACTAACTCAACTTACTTTCTTAATCTTCTCAAATTAGTCAACTGGCTTTTATAATTAGGGCGGGAGGTAGTAATTAAAAAGTGTGTATATATCAGATGCAAAATAAAGCCTTGCTTGTATGTGATGTGACCGTATCCATATCCCTTGAAATAATTTATGGCCACCTGTATATCCCAAGGTATACAACTCGGTCATTGCGCCACGATCAACCAAAAAAAAGAAAGAAAAAGGAATTGGTGCATTTCAAATGGCGTAACCTTACTTGTAACCTTAGACCGTTAGTGCATGCGTCTCTAATTCAAGGGATAAAAGCCATATTTGTTTTGTTCTTCCACACTATGAGAAGGAATGGAATGTTAATAACTCTCTGTTGATGCTAATAACTGGATAACCATTGATCTTTTTATATACTTACCATTATAATGACCTTATCAAACTCGAGTGGTTTTATTTTCATCATTAAAATGCAGCTAATAAGACAGCTTCTACCTGCAGTTTTATTATTTCTCCTTGCTAAGTGTTCATTTATGGTCCAAAGGAGAACAGAACAGAAAGGACAATTTATTCGCAAGTCTGGTAGAATGTCCAATTTCCAGGAACACAAAAGAATCTCAAAATTTAGGAAACATAACATTTTAAGATGAGGAAATTGTACAAGTATATATAAACAGTAAAGATTTGGAAAACCTGACCTGAGTTTTTACTGGCATGTTGTTAACTTCAACTATATTAATAAGAATTATTGACTCCTTTGCTGTCCATTTCTTATTCACGCCAGGTGCTTTGGCTCTGTAATCTTCTGGGATTTATCACAGGTCGGGTTAGTCATCTGGCACGGTTCAAAGAGCATTAGGAAGATAAAAAATCTGAAGAAATTTGCCGCCATGACCTATTAGCAAAATCATAGGTATTAAAAGAGACTACAACAGAGGGATATCTTGTGCGAGAGATTATAGAACAGAGATGATAGAATGCTCAATGTCTTCAACACTATAACAATCTGATAGTGAAACAGTGTTGGACAAACAGCAAAGTGACTAATGTTCCATGACATCTGTCTTATGAAGGCTTGAGATATCAAGGTCTCCGCAGAGAAATTAATGCAACCATACATGGTCTCTTGTTCAAAGGATATCTCAGATTACGTTAAAGATGCCATTTTCGAATTTGCTAGTTAAAAATGAAACCAATGGGAGAAGAATAGAAAAGAGAACTGAAGAATATGTTCAATTGTTCTCATTAGGCAAGATTATGATAAAACTTATTCGTAAGAAATTTTCACCAACTGTAATGCAGATCAAATATTATCCAAGCTGAATTATGGCACGAGATCTCTTGTTACTTAACCTGTCTGACTGAAAATCCTGCTATGAATTTTCTTGATGCTAACCTCAGCATGAATTTAAATTAGGCATGATGAACCAAGAAAAACTCAGTTATGAGCTGAAAGGGCCACGCCCACTTCAAACTTTATCAGTTATGAGCTCAATGTCATTCTCAATGTGATCTTTGGTGAAATCACAAGCAATGATGACACAATATGCAGCCCTAATTTCCCCAAAATGAAACCTATTCTTTAATGCTCCTTGTATTGTCCATAATGCAAAATATACTCATCCCTCACTTTCTAGAAAGAGGATTACGGAGGCGAAATATTATTGTTCTGTCTTCCACAATGTGAAATTGTTTCTATTTTAACATAATCAAGGCTTCATTCAAAGAACCAGAAGGTGATTACATCTAAACAAGTGAATTCGCAAGAACTGAGAAATGACTGTCTACTTCTCTATTACTTCAAATATGCTTCGGGTTTGAGCTTTCTAGTCTGTAGTCTGCACGTGTCAAGTCAAAGGAGTTGGTAAGTGCAACATACTTTATTTGTTAGCTTCAGATATGCATCCCCAACGCATCATTGCCTCTTTCTTCAAAATTTTCAGGTCCATTTTTTGACTCTGAAGCCATGACATGTATTTGAAAGAAAATCCATCAAAATACAGTCGAGCTATTCATTGTCTTCAGATCATTTGATCAGTACAAAACATAGCGCAAGAACCATAGAATCCACCAGCATCGCTTGTTCTTATACGGGGGTTTTTCTCCCTGAATTCGTTCCTTTTCATCTGAAAGGCTAAAACTGGGGGCCTCAGCAGAATTTCTTATTCAACAATCTGCCCAACTATAACCTGGACTCTTTTGAACATGCTTATCTCTCATCAAATTTCTTACTTGAGCTGATCCTTCCCAATCGTCAGAAGTTGCAAGTATATTAGATAATTGAATGAAAGCACTCGAATTTCCAGGATCAAGCTCAATAATTTGTTCAGCAGCCTTCTTGCCAAGAGTCTTGTTTCCGTGGGCTACACAGCCTCTCAATATTGATGACCACATGCTTGCATCAGCCTCAAAAGGCATCTCTTCCATAAGATCCATTGCTTCCCTAAAGGAACCAGCACGGGCTAAAAGATCCACCATGCAAGAGTAATGCTCAATCCCTGGATCAATATTATAGTCACATTTCATGCTACTGAACCAATTTCTTCCTTCTTCAAGTAGACCACTTTGATCACAGGCTGAGAGAACCGCAATAAAAGTGATACCAGAAGGTCTAACACCAGCAAGCCTCATTTCACTGAAGAGGGCTAGTGCTTCAAATCCATATCCATTTGTAGCATATCCCGTCAACATTGTATTCCAAGAGACTTCATCAGTTTTGATCATTCCATCAAAAATTTTATGGCCTATCTCAGCAAACCCACATTTACAGTAAAAATCAACAAGGGAAGTAGAAATGATTTGGTCAGATTCAAGCCCAATAGTAATAGCTTTACCAAATATTTGCTCACCGAGTTTAAGGGATGAAGTACTTGCACAAGAGCTGATTACACTGGCAATGCTAAACTTGTCCAATTTTAAGTCCAGCTTAACCATTTGACAAAAGATATCTAATGCTTCATGTGGACAAGCATTCTGAGAGAGGCCCACTACCATTGAGTTCCATGTTATCATAGTTTTATTCGACATTGTCTTGAAAATCCCTTTAGCATCATCAATTCTTCCACAAGTGGAATATACAGTGATCATCGTATTAAGTAAAACTGTGTCATGAGCTTTGAGCTCACTGAACAATTTGCAAGCTTCATAAAGACTTTGACATTTTGCATATGCATCAAGCAAAGCACTAGCAACAATAATGTCCTCGGATACCCCAGCTTTAGTAGCATGGGCATGCATCTGTATGACAAGCTCAATAATGAGCAAGCTACTGCAAGCACTCAAAATGTTTGCAATAGTAGAGGGGTCTTCCTCAACCCCACTTATACGCATTCTGTTGAAGAGAGCCAATGCTTCCAATTCCTCACAATTGGATATATATCCAGAAATAATTGAATTCCACAAGACATGACATGGATTAACTTTTCTTTCAAAAATTCTTCTAGCCTCATTCATTCTACCAGAATGTGCATACCCTGATATCATAGCTGATAGAGAGAAATCATCAGTCTCTCCCACAACATCCATAATATGATCTGCAGTAACAAAATCACCACATTTTCCATATAAATTAATCAACGAACTACACAAGACCGAGTCAAGTTCAATATCATCAATGAAAATGCGAGCATGGATTTGTTTGCCACAGCTTAAAGCCAACAAATCTGTGCAAGCCCTAATTACAGTTGCCAAAATGAATGTATCCCGATGCCTTGCTTCTGATGGGTCTGAATTCAAATTCTTGAAGAGCATTAAAGCTTTTCCAGGTTGCCCGTTTCGGACATAACCATGAATCATTGAATTCCACACTAGCTCGTTTTTCCTGGGCATAGCATTGAACAATGGATGGGCTATTTCTAGTTCACCAGCCTTCGCAAATCCTGAAACAACCACATTCCAGGAGTAATTGCTCTTTTGGGGCATGATATCAAATAACTCCAGGGACTTGTACTTGTGACCTAGCTTCATATAACCTTCAATCATTGTGCTCCAGGAGAAACAATTTCTCTGAGGCATCTCCATAAACAACTGCCGTGCATCTACCATGCTACCACACCTGGAGTACAACTGAAGAAGGCGGTTTCCGATTGTAAGTGCAGAATTCAGAATACCCCTTTTGAGAAAAGCCAGGTGGAGTTGCTTCACTTGAGAAATTGAGTGATGAGTGTTGTAAATCGCACAGGTAAGAGCATGCAGATCAGGATTCATTTTCTGATTGTTCAGTCCGATAAAAGATGACACTGGCCATAGTCAATGGATTTCTATTTCATAGTACATAGAGCAAGAACTGCATACAAAAGCAAGATGAACAAATACAGCACAAAGCAAGCTAGAGAGTTCGCAACGTTGCTTCACATGCATGGTTCAGCCTTCCAATCACCACTTGATTTCTTTTAGCCTACATTTGTTTTGACCAATGTTATAGGGAAAAAAGTTTGGTTGCATTAAATAAACGACTTTAGGATGCGACAATAATAGGAAGGCAAAAAGATTCAGAGAGGAAAAAATGTGGTTCCCAGGTATATTAATTTGCCCTTAGCTCTCTCTATGCGTAAAGCAGAAAAAGAAGCCGTGCAAGGAGGATTAGTCCATTCATTTCAGACATAAGGGAGGGAAGGAGTGGGGAGGTGAGGTTATGAGCTTTCTTTGGTTGGAGGGAATGGGAGTTATTTTAGGCCTTGTTTGTTTCTGTTTGCAATGTTTTTGTTCTCAAAACAGTTTTATAAAACAAGTTTTGGAAACAAAAAAAATAAAAAATCTGTTTCGGTAAATGTTCTAAAAAAAACCACATTTGAAAAAAAAAAAACCATACATACTTGTTTGAAACAATTGTTTTTAAAATCAACTTAGAGGGAAAAAAGGGGGAAAATTCTGATTCACTTATTTTATATAATTGATAGTGGCATGAGTTTTTTTTATAATTACTTAATTACTTAATATCTTAATTCAATAAAAAATAAAGTAAAATGATCAATATATAACATAAAAATGATTACAAAAATAACATGTATTATAATGGGGAAAAAGAAGCTCGAAAAAGGAACTGAGAAAGTATGTCATACAAACTCAAACAAAAATAACATGTATTATAATGGAAAAAAAGAAGCTCGAAAAAAGAACTGAGAAAGTATGCCATACAAACTTAAACAAAAATATCGTATTATAATGGGAAAAAAGAAGCTCGAAAAAGGAACCGAGAAAGTATGTCATACAAACTCAATAATGGAGCTTGACTATCCAAAGTCATTTAGAAGGCTTTATGTACAATTGCACATACGAAACCCATATTTTCACAATCCACTTCATTTTTAGAGCAACAAACATCATACAGACATCACAATTAAGGACTATACATACCACTTTAAAGCTCCCCAAATTTTATTTGAGAAAACCACAAGTAAGCATAATTTCTTCCTCATATAGAACCAAATTTTGCATCATTCCATGGCTGGCAACCAATTACAGTCACTTCCCTGATATGATGAAGATTGAGGTTGAAGTAGTGGAAGCTGCTAAGGCTAAATATAATGAGAAATTTGTATGGGGTTTGAGATAGGACTAGGGGGCATTGGATGTGACTAAACTGGCTTTGATGAGGCCAGATGGGCATCCGGGTCCTTATTATCTTTTTCCATTTGCTGATGGCGTTAAAGAGAGAGTTCAGACTTCAAAATGATTGTGTTCCCAAGTTCTTGTTGTTTGTCAGTCGAAGAGCCACCAATATACTAGACCAGTTAGTAAGGCACGAAATTAGACTGTATGTAGAATTGAAGATGGGAAATATGCATCTACCATAAACCAGAGTCCTTCATGTCGGTTGATTATTTGAATTGTGCACAGATCATCACATACCGAGAGAAGATACATTAAAGTCAGAAGATATATATATACCCCAGGAAGAAACCACTTGATAAATATATGATATATCATTGGAAGAAAAGGGACTTCTAGAATTGAAAGAATGAGGCCAAAGAAGCTTTTGCGTAGTCTCTGAGGGTTATAATTGATATGTTGGGGGAGCTTTTAAGAAGAAACAAAGCACAGCGAAGAAATCATACCCGTGCAAGCCACAATGAGGCCTGAGCTGGTCTCTGTTCCTCCCAATAATGTCTCAGCCACAGTTTTTATTTTATTTTTAGGCTTAATCTCATTCTCATTGATGGAATCTTCTAAGTCTAACCCCTCCTTCACTTGTGATTGAACCAGGAAGATCAAGGATTAGCAACTTAAAAGTGGTAGATAAAACAAGTCATCACAGTTCACAAGAATACAGGGCCAATGACATGGACAAAATTTTAAGATTAACAGCTGAATAAGTTTGGAATTTCTTATAACTAAAAAAGCTCCATGAGATTAATGAACAGAGAACATGCTTCAACGAGTTCAAAAGCTGCAGGTAACGTCAAAGGTTATTATCCCTCTCGCACGTGAATGAAGACCAAAGGCAAATAGTATATATCAAGAAACCAGTAATAAACTGAAGAGTAGCTTAAATATTAGGCGAAAAAAGGTCTAGATATCATATAAACAAAAATAACAATTAACAAATAATAGGAAAATGCAAAGCCTAAAAGAAATTTTCTATTCCCATGAATTAAATCCAATCTGCACAAAAACAAAGAATAACTTATTGGCTATCAGTCTCACTGCATGATTAGATTAGACCACCGTAAAGCAGGGTATGCGTATACTGAATATTTATACTCCCTTTGCTCCATAATATAAGAAATTGGTTAGAAGAAAATTCTGGTACAAGATATAAGAGGTTAACAAGGCAATTAATGATAGTTTTCCACTTTTGATCCTTGTTACAAAGAGAGGAGAGAGTTTTAAATGCTGAAGAGATGAGAGAGAATTTTCCAGTCACATTCTTTAATGGGTAACTTTCATCAATTTGAAACAAATTTAATGAATTAACTAACATTCCTTGGTTTGTGAGAAAACTTAAACTAACTTCTCATATTATGGACCGAAGGGAGTACCCAAAATAATGAGTAGAAGCTGGTAATTTTGCAATACCTAAATCACCAAAGAACAGGGCAACATATGCTATGGTTTTACCATGATAAACTGAAAAGAACAGAGATTCAATCACATCAAGGAGCAAGAACTCAGAAACCTGAATGAAGGACCGAATAGGACAACGAGAACGAGCGACTCTACAGAAGAGATGACGGCAACGGTCAAAAACGACGGAGCAGGAGGCGGCGGCAACTACTGGAAGGCAGAGGCTGGAGGACCAAGCAGGCGACGGGAGGAGGAGATGCGTGAACACGAGCATTGGGGAGACAGAAGAGAGTGAAACGAGCGTTTTGGTCCGAAGGGTAAGAATGGAATATTTGAAAACAAAAGCAGAAAAAAACCCTGAAAATTATTAAATCCTAAATCAGATTTGTTTCCTGTATAAGATTTTGACGATACTTTTTTTTTGGTTGCCCAGAGTATCCTCCCACCCGAACCGTAAGAGACTAATTTCTCGGGGTACTGTCAGGCACCATAGCGGGGACCCCTCCCAACAGTGTTTTTTCCATACACACCGTCCCAAGAATCGAACCCAGGACATGATGTTTAAGGGGCCCAAGTCCCTTCCACTTGGACCAACACTTGTTGGTAATTTTGACGATACTTAGATTTGAAAATAACAGCACATTGTTATATAAGCTTCTCATTGGATTATGCAATTTTCGAGTTTTTTTTGTTGTTATTTTTCTTTAAAAAAATACCATAGATAATTTAGTCGGCTAATAGAAGTTAGAATAGGAAGGCAGCCGTATATTTTGGGTGTTGCTTAAGTCGTATTATTAACTAAGAGTTTGTTTAGATTGATGGTAAAAAAAAAAAAACTTAATTTTAAGCTGATTTCTAAATAAGTTAGATTAAATAAAAGTTAGATTAAGTAATACAATTTATGTTTGGATTGATTTTTATGAAAGTTAGTTTGTAGAATAGAAAAGTTATTTAGATTATGATTGGATAAGTAAGTTTAGTTTGTAAAATAACCAAAATAAATATGATTTTTATTAAATAATAAAAATAATTACAAATATGAGTTTACAAAATATAATAATTTTAAATTATTATAATAAGGAGGAGCTATATTTAATGACTAAAATATATTTAAATTAGAAATCGTAATAATGTGAAATTTTTTTAACCAAATAATATTATATAATTAGATATACTTTGCAAAATTTATGTAAACATAAAATTAAAAAATAATATTAAAAATTAAAAATGTTATAAAAATATGTTAGAAATTATTTTTAATAAAACATTAAAAATAAATAACAAAAAACTGGTTAAGAACACAAGAAATATGCATAGAGAAGTATAAAAATATCTTTTGATTTTTTTTTTTTAAAAACTACTTTTATATAAGTTATAAGTAAGTCACAGCTTTTGACTTGCAAATAAGATTAGTCAAAAGCTAATCTAAACATGGGAAAAATTGACAACCGTGCTTATGGGTTGAAAATCTATCCTCTCAAAATTTTCTTTCTTTTTTCCTCTCGAAATCCCTTTTCTACCCTTAGATTAAAAAAAAAAAGTTTAGATGTAATATCTTATAAAATATTATTAAAATATAAAGAAATAAGTTTAAATTTAAAAAAATTATTCTGGATCAGTTTACACTTGTAATATAAAAAAATAACTTATAAAATATTTATAAAATATTATATCTAAGTCATTCATTTTTTTTTCTAAGGGTGGAGAAAGGATTTTAAGAGAAAAATTGAGAAAGAGGGTATACTGGAAAGATCCTTATCCCATAAATCAATCATAATCATGTTTATAATGCTTAGTTCTAATTGAATCAAATTACTTTATTTGATTTAAATAATAAAGTATTACCTGTTATTCTAAATATAAGAGTTAGTTAGAAATATAATTTAGTTCTAAATATAAAATTTTGATATATTGTCTCTTATGTTTATTCATTTCCCCCCACAGTAGCCCTCATACTGATTGCACATATTAAAAGATTTTTATTTTAACATATATGATTAATAAAAATATTTTAGAGAATACAACACTCACATTGAAGCCCAATTACAATGACAAGCCCAATCAACCCATCCTAGTGTTACGATTCCATATTCTTTTTTTCCTTTATATGTGTCTTTATTGTACTGTTTAACTTAGTCTATATATTGCGTATACAATGTACACGACATATCAATGAATAGAATATACATTTTCACCATCTTGTCACTATTTTGGTTCATTATGGCATCAAAGTCGTAACATCCTTCCCAAAATGTTAGGTTTATCATCTCCATCCTCCACCTCCATGGTCACTCCTCCCAATACTGCTTCATCTTCTTCTGTATCTCTTTCTTCACCACCTTCCAACCTACCCCACTACATTACAGTCAAACTAACCCAAAATAACTATCTTATCTAGAGAGCTCAACTTCTTCCTTATCTTTATGGTCAACAACTTTTGGGATATATTGATGGCTCTATACCTCCTCCACCTCAAAAGCTCTCTTTTGGTCTCCCTAACAGAGATTACCTTACGTGGTTCTAGCAAGATCAGTTGGTTCTCTCAATACTTCTTGCATCTCTCACTGAAAAAATTATCCCTCAATTTATTCATCACAGAGCCTCACGTACTTTGTGGATAGCACTGGAGACCTCCTTTTCTCAACAAACTCAAGCCCGACTAGTCTATCTCCATCAACAAATCACCACACTCAAGAAAGATGGTGAGAGTATCACTGACTATTATCGCAGAGCAACCATGTTAGTAGGCTCCTTGGCAGTAGCAGGAAAACCCGTTGTAGATGATGATTTTGTCACTTATCTCTTAGCTGGATTGGGTTCAGAGTTCGACACTATGGTCACTGTTCTCTCCACACAGAGAAGTTTCCTTTCTGTTGAAGCTATTTTAAGCCATTTACTTGTCTTTGAAGAGCATCTTTCTCAACAAAACTCCACTTCTCTTCGTACTGTGGTCACTGCAAATGCTGTTCATAGAGGTTCAGCGTCCTCTTCTAGAGGTGGTCAAGGTGGACGCTTCACCAGCTATGGATGTGGTTTTCCAAACGTAGGTCACGGTATCCTGGGTCTCGACCGAAATCAACCTTTTCATGGATTCTTTAGAGGAAGAGGGAGGTACTCACCTTCCTATTTTCGACCTAACTTTGATGAAGTGGCTTGCCAGATGCATGATAGATTTGGTCATACTGCCTTAACTTGTTTTGATTGTCAAAATCATGCACTACAAGCACCTTCACCTCCTTCTCTTGTTGCCCATTACTCTGAACTATCTTCTGCAGATGACTCTCTTTGGTATCCTGACACTATTGCTACTCATCACATGACTAATGACTTCTCTAAACTAAATCTCAATAGTGAGCCATACTATGGAAATGATTCAGTTCTAGTCAGTAATGGTTCTCCGATGTCCATTCAACACCAAGGATCTGGAACAATCAACACAGCTTTTGGCAATTATCTTCTCACTAATCTTCTTGATGTTCCTCCTATTACAAAAAATTTGCTATCAGTTTATCAATTTTGTGATGATAATAATGTCTTTTTTGAATTTCATTCTGGTTATTTTTCTGTGAAGGACAAACAAACAAGGGAAATTTTGCATCAAGGTCCTAGTCTCAACAGAATGTATCCTAGTCATTTTTCCAACTCCCCTCAGGCACATTATGGTGCTCGTACTTCCTTTCTTCACTGGCATCAACATCTTGGTCATCCCTCCTATTGTACTGTTCACAAAGTCATTTGATCAAACTCTCTTTCAGTCACAACCAAGTCTTCCTCTCACCAATGTTCAACCTGTAGAACCTCCAAGAGTCATTACTTGCCCTCACCAGCTTCTTCACATCGTTCTTCTTTTCCTTTTGAACTAATATTTTGTGATGTATAGGGACCATCTCCCACTGTGTTTGTAAACATTTATCATTATTATGCCTCCTTTGTTGATGATTATTCTCGTTTTATTTGGTTCTATTCACTCAAAGCTAAAAGTGAGCTTCATTCAGTATTCCATCAATTCAAAGCTTCTGTTGAGACTTAATTTAATTCAAAAATTTGATCCTTCCAATCAAACTGGGATGGAGAATTTCACTCTCTAAATAAAGACTTAATTTCCCTTGGTATATATCATCAAATCACATGTCCTCCTACACATACACAGAATGGAACTGTAAAAAGACGGCATCGTACAATAGTGGAAACAGGACTAGCACTTGTGCACCACGCATTTGTGCCACTAAGCTACTGGTCCTTTGGTTTTGCTATTGCCACTTATCTTTTAAACAGACTACCTAACTCATCAGTTTTGCATGAAAAAAAGCCCCTTCGAATTGCTGTTCAAGTACAGGCCTAATTACTCTTTTTTGAAAATTTTTTACGCATGCTGCTGGCCTAATTTTAGACCTTATGCATCTGACAAACTTGCCCCACGGTCTCAGCTTGTGTTTTCATCGGTTATGCACCAAATCATTTGGGATACTTGTGTCTACACTTGCCCATAGGTCGAGTTTATACATCCAGAGATGTGATTTTTGATGAATCACTCTTTCTTTTTTTGACCCCAAGTGCTCTCTCACCCACTTCTAATGTCTAAAATATAACCCTCCCCTCACTTCACTTATAGCCCATCCCTTTAAGCCTATTTACGGAAAACAATCCAAACCCACTCACTACACATAATCCTAGCCCTCAACCTCACACGAGCCCTCATTCTCTCTCCCCTGCACCGTCAACCCAATCTCCCTTTCCTACCACCACTCCTCTGTCACAATAGCTGCCACTCCCACTGCCCTCTCACCCTATGATCACTAGATCCAAGGCTCACATTTTCAAACAAAAGTCCCTAGCCCCTGATTTTGTCTCTTCTCTACCACCACAAGCTTACTCCTCCTCAATTTCTTCACTATTAGTCCCTACCTTCGTCTCTCATGCCCTCAAATCACCAACATGGCGTCAAGCACTTCAAGATGAATTTCAAGCTCTACTCTCTACAAATACTTGGGAGCTTGTTCCTCACTCTCCCACCATGAATATCGTGGGTTGCAAATGGGTATTCCAGCAGAAGTTCAATCCTGATGGCTCTCTTGAAAAGTTGAAGGCTCATCTTGTGGCGAAGGGGTTCCACTAAGAACCAAGTATTGATTTCTCTGACACTTTCTCTTCGGTTGTTAAGCCGACCACATTTCGCTTGGTTCTCTCTATTGTTGTATCTCATGGTTGGGTTATCAATCAGATTGACATCAGTAATGCCTTTCTTCATGGCTTTCTCAATGAAACTGTCTATATGCAACAACCACCTAGTTTTGTTCGTCCTCACAAACCTCTTCATGTTTGCAAATTAAATAGGGCAATTTATGGTCTAAAACAAGCCCCTTGTGTTTGGTTTGCTCGATTAAGTTCGCGATTGCTTGAATTGGGTTTTCGTGCCTCTCAATCTGATTCTTCTCTTTTCATTTGCCACAATTCCAAATGCACAGTGTATGTTTTAATTTATGTGGATGATATCATTGTGACTGGCTCTTCTCCCCTTGCTATTCAAGCACTGATTCAAGTACTCAGTCACTCCTTCCTTGTTAAAGATCTTGGTCGGCTACACTACTTCTTAGGGATTGAAGTTTTACCTTCTCATTCAGGCCTACTTCTATCTCTAAAGAAATACATCCTTGATTTGCTTCTCAAGGCCAAAATGTCTAATGCCCAACCTGTCTCGACACCCATGTCTTTTGGTACTCATATGACTTCCCTGTTTGGCATTGATTTTCTTGATCCTCAATTTTATCGTAGCATTGTTGGAAGCTTACAATATCTAAACTTCACACAACCAAATATCACCTTTGCCATTAATCGTGTCTACCAATTTATGCACAATCCCAAAGAGCATCATTGGATTGCGGTTAAATGAATACTTAGGTATCTTAACAGTACTTCTCATTATGCTCTCCACATTAAACCATCCACTTCCCACACTCTTTCTGCCTTCTCTGATGCTGACTTTGGAGAAAACCCCGATAATTCTAGATCCACTGGTGCATTTGCTATTTACTTTGGTCCTAACGTGATTACTTGGAGCTCCAAAAAGCAGCCCACTGTTGCCCAACCCAACACTGAAGCAGAATATAAATCAATTGCCACCACCACTAGTGAACTCATTTGGCTTCAAAATCTTCTCCATGAACTTCATATTTATCTTCCAGAGGCCCCTTTTCTCCATTGTGATAATCTTGGTGCCACATATCTTGTAGCTAACCCAACTTTTCACTCCCGGGCCAAACATATCTCTCTGGATTATCATTTTGTCTGTGAGAGACTTGCTACTAGCTTAATTCATATTCTACATGTCTCCTCCAAAGACCAAATTGCTGGTATCTTAACAAAAGCTCTTCTTTCGTCAAGGTTTGCTTGTCTGCGTTTGAGTCTCACTGTGCTACCAACCCAGCTCACCTTGTGGGGGAATGTTGAAGCCCAATTACAATGACAAGCCCAATCAACCCATCCTAGTGTTACTATTCCATATTCTTCTTTTCCTTTATACATGTCTTCATTGTATTGGTTAACTTAGTCTATATATTGCATATACAGTGTACACAACAGATTAATGAATACAATATACATTTTCTCTGTCTTGTCACTATTTTGGTTCATTATTTATTATAAATAATTAACTTAACTAATTTTTTTAAATTCATAAATTAATTATCTAGTTCTTATATTAAGGATTGGAGCTATTACTACCTCCGGTCCTAATTATAAGATCTCGTTTGTAGTCTGCAAAGGAGGTCTTATAATTAGGACTAGAGGTAGTATTATTGAATTTACTTATTGCTTATTTAGAAATTTAATGGATTGTTTTGTTTATTTTAAAAAATGTTGACAAAATTCCCTAATATGTCCCAAAATTTCAATAACAATAAATCAATAGTTTCAGCGCAAAAAGTTCCATGTCTAGCTTAACTGCATTACTACAAAAATAATTGCAAATATCATGTTTAAGAAGCGAAGATAATTCCATATAAATGCATGAAATTGTAAAGAGCCTCCCCCCCCCCAGTTTAGTGAGAAACTATGGCCGATAAGGAACATATATCTAAAGTTTCATGGTGAGCAGATTTGGTTTGATTAACTGTTTTGAACTCGAAATTTTTACTTTAAAATTAAAGATGTTTTCTTTAAGGATAAAAAAAAGCTTACTCTAATTTGAAAAATTTTGATAAAGTCTTACCTTAGATATAAGACATACGAAATTTTAACATAATTATATCTTTGGTAGCAACAAAAAATAAAGGAGGTCAATATCCACACAATTAAAAGCTAATTCCAGAATTTCACAAAACATAAAAATTTCTTAGAGGAACAATATATATATATATATATATATTTTGAAGCAGCTCTACTTTCATGCTTGAAGCTGGACAAGTCTTGAACTAAGCGAAGACCTTAGCTAACCAACTAATTATATTTTAATTAACACTTCTCCAGTCTTTAATGTTGGATGGGAGTTGATGTCGGTCATATATATGACCTACTTTACGTGTTTATCAACTTTTTCTCAAATTAACCATATTGGTATTCAAAACAATAATCGAGTAGGAGAGTGAGGGAGGAAATTAAGGAAGATGTTTAGAGTATTTAAAAAAATCATATTAACTAATTTAAATAACATAATTAATCTACTTAAATTAATTAATTAGGTCTTATATTAAGAACTAGAAGAATGTCTCCAACAATACTCTTACTCTTTAAATGAAAAATATACATTAGTTTGCCGATAATAAAATAGCGAAGGCCATGACGGTTGACATAGAGGAATTAGTGTAGAGATGTGGTACAGGACCTCTAGTATTAAGTTTCAATCAAGATTGGCATGGTGGGTCTCATATTCTCTAATAAGCCCTTGCCTTGAAGCAGAACAATGACTTCAGACATTGATGGCCTTAATTCTGCAGATGCTTGGGTGCATAGCAGACCAATCTCTATGATTTTCTTCACTTCTTCTGCATTATAATCATTAGGGTTCAAGGTATCATCCACCAACTCGATGTGTGTGTCTCTCTCATATAGTTTCCAAGCCTATCAAGTGAATTAGAGGGAAATGGAATAAGAAGAGCAAACAAGACAAAGCAAAACTTCTGTGTGGTTGAAATAATATCCCGCATTCTAATTTTCTATAATGAAAATAATATTTTAAATTAATCATAGAAATTTTCTTACTTTTCGAAGGAGGAATTCGCCTTCAAATTCGCCTTGTACCTTCAATTCATTGCTTCGTTCACCACTGATAATTTCTAGAACTACGACACCGTAGCTATAAATATCAGCCTTTTCTGATAATTGACCATGAATTGCATATTCTGGTGCTGTGTATCCTCTGAAATATACATGTTTATTGTAGTTAATGGCTCAAATCGATGCAGAAACAATATTTTGAGTATGAAATAGTAATGTATGTGTGTCATCAATATGAATTATTTATTATTTTGGCTTACAATGTTCCAGCAAATTTTGTGCTAAGATGAGATTTTTCTTCTGGTAAAAGCCTTGCTAAGCCAAAATCAGCAATTTTTGGTTGGAGATCATCATCTAAGAGAATGTTGTTAGTCTTTACGTCTCTATGTATGACACGAACATGAAATTCTTCATGTAGATAAGCCAAACCCCTTGCTACTCCTAAAATTATATCATAACGCTGCTTCCAACTAAGAGAACCTTTGTTTTACCTATTTCACAAATTTACACACATTAAAGGGTTGAGGAAAAAGAATAACATTTATTAAAAGGAGAATTTGACGAGACATTAACATGTTTTGTTAGTGAATTCTTGAATGAAATTATGACATGTGAAGAGCTAGTTATATATTTGTTAGATGAAAATATGTCCACATGTCATAATTTTACACGAAAATTCAATTTCTAAAAATTGAAGGACTATATAGAAGCTTTGTTAGGTGGTAAACATACCAAATAAGAATTTATCCAGACTGGTGTTTTTCATATATTCATATATAAGAATTCTCTCATTGCCTTCACTGCAACATCCGAGCAGTCGAATGAGATTTCGGTGATGAACATTGCTTATAAGCTTCACTTCACTTTCAATTTCTTCTTCCACCTTTTTAGACTGGCGTAAAGTTAATTTCTTTACAGCAACTACTTTCCCATTCTTCAAAGTACCCTATGTATGAAAATGAAGAATGTCAAGAAAGCTGGAAGTTTGACCTATTTATAACACTAAATGAAAGTATTCCCTTAATACATCTTTGCGTTGGAACATGATCTATATAAAAAAATTGAGAATCAAAATATATGGTTACCTTATATACAGCACCAAATCCTCCTTCTCCAAGTTTATTTTCTGCACTGAAACTTTTAGTAGCAGACTTCAACTCCCAATAACTAAAACGAATTGGGCCTTCCAACTTACTTGCTCCTGTCAAGGAAAACAAGGAAAACGTAACCCAAGTCATGTCTCTAAGAAAAAGCAGTTACGGATTCCTTTTTTCATAGAGATTAATTAAACATCCATAACATATCATTTTCTTTCAAGGGAAAGTGTGACCAAACCATCACTTTCAATTACTAAAAAAGTATACACAGGAGTACTTTTCAAGGTGTTTACCCCTAGGAACTGATCTCTTAGGTCTTTTTGGTCGTTTAATCCAAGCTAATAGTGTAAGAAGGATCAAAACAAAAGCTACACTTCCAACAATTACTCCTCTAATGGTACCCTTCTTATTTGAACCTGCAAGACACAGAAGTAAAGAACACACTGTTAATGTGTCAATATTTATGTATGGCTATGTATATCCGTGTCTAATCAGGCACTGAAATAAGATATTACTTTCTCTTATTCAAAATATAAGCATCAAAAAAATGCATTAAACAATTAGATAAATCCAAATTGTAACTTGTAAAAAGAACTAAGCCCCCTCAAAGAGTTGATGCTTATATATTGAACTGGAAGGAGCATTAACTAAACAAAGAAGGGTTTTATTAATCAAGAATCAACGCCTACAACTGAGCTAATCAACCCTTCTATAAGTGATTTAATGAGGTGAGGACCTATGTTAACCTCTCTCTTTTTTTTTGGTGAGGATGCTTAATACAGTGATATATATATGACCCTATAGGTAAGTCTTTCAGGATCACTAACTAAATTGGTGATTATGACTAATAACGAAGAAGTAAAATCATCTAACCTTCTGACATACATAATACATATGTAACTTAGTTAGCTTGAGGGATTCATTCAGAACTACACAGATAAGCAAACCCAATTGTCATTTTGAGTACATGTGCAATCACTAAGGCAATTAACTAAATGCATCCAAAGTAGAGTGTGATATCATCACTATGATTTGAAGAAGGAAATACTATCTCCTGTCCTAAATATAATAACTAGTTAGGGATTTGATTTGGTCTTAAATATAAAATATAATCATGATTAAAAAGGATATACTTTAGAAAATTCAATTCATATTTGTTACAAATAACTAACTTAACTAATTTTCTTAATTAATCTATTCAAATTAATTGAGTAGCTCTTATATTAAGAATCAAAGATATGTACGTACCTTGCTTGATCAAGGGTACAATATGAAACGTCTGGTTATATCCGGAAAGAAGGAAGTGGTGGAGTATCTCATGAAGCACCCATTAGCTTCAGTCCTACCATTAGAATTTGGAAGACAAGTCTGCAAATTGCTATAACCAGCCTTCAAGCAATCTTCACACCCACGCTGTGTGATAGTTTCAATACACTGAGCAAAAGCATAAATAGTTGTACCATTATTATTATTATCAGGGAATAATTGTGCTTTTGTTGTCACGAAAAACCCTTGCTTTTTGGGTGTTGTTGTTTGCAGATTCATGAGCACTTGTTGCCCAACTGAGGTAAATAATGTGGTGGATTCCCTTACAGTTTGATTACCACACAATACGGCATTGAAACTGTCCAGTGTCTGGTCAAAGAAAGCACTGATCTCGTACCTCAATACACAAAATTAGATATCATATATCAGTTTTCTAAGTTAATAGAGGTTAAGGAGCAAATTTTTATGGGAAGTTTTTACACTAGGCACTTGGAAGTTTTTTTAGTACAAATTTGTCCCATAAATTTAAAATCATAGTAATTTTACTCTATACTTAGAGGGGTAATATGGGCCACCCCGCAGGTTATGGGTTGGCCTGTGGTAGTTCAAGACACTATTTTAACTATCAATATTGGTTTTTTAATGATAAGAGGTAAAATTGCTATGATTTTAAACTTTTAGAACAAATTTGTATCCAAAATTTTTCAGGTGACCAACACTCTTAAGTGAAAACTACCAAGACAAATTTGTACTATAACCCTTAGAATAAGATATTTCTTATGAACATAAATTTCAAAAGTTTTGACTGAAATAGACATACAGCTTCAATATATAATCAAAATTTACAAATCTCGGTCGTTATTTATGCCTGCCTTCTATAAAAATAAACCAAAGTCTATTTTCTCTCCTTTGTCTCTATACTTTGTTTTTTCCTTTGTTACCTCAAGGTTTGTGACTGGACCTTTACGATATTCCAACCGAATAATCCTGCCACTTGATCGATTAGGTGTTTTTTTTAATTTTTTGGTCTCTATTATATTGCTACAGTTTAATTAATCAACGTGAAAACTGTATAATAATGCTAGCAATAAATTTCATTATCTTTATATGATATATTATTCAGAGAAAGAAAAGATCAGACTAGAAGAAGAAGAAATGGACTAGTTTGTACTACCTGAGGAAGCAGCCATCGTAGACGGCACGGCCACCTTGTGCTCCGGCAGGGCATTGGCGAATATGTACGGCAGCGACGTCGAAGCAGGTGACACAGTCATGAATGGAGAGGTAGTCTCTGCACTGAAAAAGGTGAAAACGGGGTTTTCTGGGTTTGCTTTCTGCGCGTCGCGTCGCGAAGTGCTTGTTCATGCCGACAATCTGCTCTCTGATGTCTCGAAACGTTTCGTTCACATTGCCACTGAAGATGGAGAAGCTGGACACAGCGAACGCGTTGGATGGGGTGCATCCTTTGTTTAAGAGATTGGCCTGTGGGTCGGAAACGACGCCCGTTAAGTGTCGACCATGACCAGCAGAACATGATGAAAGTGATGATTAAAGAAAGGAGATTATTATTGGGTTGAAGCATCGTTTTCTTAGCATGGAAGGAGAGTGAAGATGAAGAAGGAAGAAGCTTAAGATCAGTGAGATATATAGAAAGAGCTGTTTACTCATACCCCAAGCATAAAAGAGCAATTTGATAACTAAAGAGGGACGATAGTGAAATTATATTATTTATGGAAGTTTTGTGACCCACACGCTTTCAAAATGCATGGAGCCTGTTGGCTTGCTTGCTTCTTGGGGCGACTTGATTGAAGAAGGACTTGGAAGACTCACTGGTTCAAGCTTTGTGCGTGTTGAAACATTTGTACTTATACTCCCTCCAGTCTTTATTATAAACTTCTAATAACTAATTTATGAATAATGAATAATTAGTTAAAATTAGTTAAAAGTAATAAGTAGGTTAAAAATATTTCTTTTTGTTTTCAAATATGCCCTTGTAATAAATGAGAAAAAAAAAAGAAATGTGTGGAAAAATGTGATAAGAGATATTATGACCAAAAAAAAGAATGAATAATTAAAGATAAAATTAGAAAAAATACATTAAATGTTAAGATAGGTACAAAATTGAAGCTTATAAAATAGACCATACCTCTCTCCCAATTTGAAGCTTATAAATAAAACTGAAGGGATTATATATGTATATATGTATATGTATATAAAGACTTAAGTGTAAGATTTGGACATTTTCAAACAATGAGGGGAAATGACATTTCAAATTAATAATCGGGCGTCGGGTGGTCACTAGAGCCGGTAATATGGGTTGGACCCGCGGGTTGAACCCGCCAACCCGCCAAAAGAGGCGGGTTAGGGTTGGCCTTTGGTCAACCCGCCACCACCTGAAAAATATGAGCCCGCACCGTCACAACCCGAGCCCGCCATGGGTCAGCCCTCAACCCGCCAACCTGCCTAAATTTTTTTTAATTTTTATATATATTAAAATATTAGGAGATGGGTTGGAAAGGTAGGAAAAATTTATATTTGAACTTGTGTTTTATCATGTTTAGAGTTTGAACTTTGAACAATTGTATATTTTGTGTTTTAATGTGTTGTAATTTTGTGTGAATGCTTGGAATACTTTAAATCATTTCTGATTTTTTTTTAATTTTTGATTATTTATAAGAATTTTTTTTTATAAAAAAAATATGGCTGGTTGGTGGGTTGACCCGCCACCCACCTTGGTGGGTTAGGGTTGGCAGAATACCAACCCGCCAAAAAACGGGCCTTTTGAGCTCGACCCAAATAACCCACAACCCACTACGGGCCAACTCGCAACCCGCAGGTTGGCCCGTTTTACCAGCTCTAGTGGTCACCACCACAAGATGCTTGGCGTGCAAGCTCGGGAATAGGAATGGGATGTGAAGGAGAAATTGGGGCCAGTCTCTCCTTTCCTTTTTTGGTGTGCTGTGCTGCTCTCTCTCTCTCTCTGTTTTTTTTAGGCTAATAATTTTAGAATTAAGGTTATAACTATATTTTTTAAAATTAAGGAACTAAATTAAAAGATTAAATATATATTTTAACGCATTTTAATATAATCCACAAGCATAAAAAATTATGCAACAACATTCATTTTTATATTTGCAGAAAAAAGTTATTTAAAGACTGTAAAAATTATAAAATCTCAAATTAGATACTACAATTCATATAATCCCTGTCAAACACAAAAACCTAATTTGAAATTACGAAATTATAAGGAAAGGACCCAGATGCCCTTTTGTTTCTCAGGCGAAATGTTTCACAATTTACTTGGGAACAATAATTCTAATTATAAAATCACAAGTCTAAATTTGATAATACTAATAACGTTTTTTATATACAATTTATTTGGAAATAACAAATTCTAAAATGTAAAATGACAAGTTTAAAATAATATTAACAGCACGTTTTTCAGCATAAGAGCATTTTGATTTTTTTTCTTCATGATTTTATAATTGCAATTTAAGTTTTCATCTATCAAAGATGTTATATGAATTGAAGTACTTAAATTGAGATTTCATAAGTTTTAGGGTCTTTAAATTTTCTCCCCTTTTATTTGCTTACATTAAATGGTTAAAATTAAAAACTTATCTAATTGTTGAATCACTATTTAATTTTGTTTGAGTTAGGATCTTCTTATTAAATGAAACTAACAATATTAAGATTAATGGATTTAAAAAATACGTTATAATTTAAATTAACTAGCTAATTAACTGAAATCTTATTATTAAAAAAAATTAACTGAAATCTTTATGAAATTAAAGATCAGACCAAACATATATTTTAAATTATAAAATTACTA